CTTTCAATCCGGCTCCTGGGATTCTTTGTGCTTTCCCACAATACATCCCAGCCACGACCAACCAAAATAGCCTCTTTCTTCATATTTAACAAGAGCAAAGAAATGCCGTCATCCCTATTTTGCAGATTGGGAGCCCAGACAAAGAGAAGGATTAGATTTCTCTGCGGCACCTGTTGTGTCTCTAACTGCCAGATTGTTAGAAAGAGGATAATGTGCTGTGCACCGGGAGGGCTTTGAAACCCAGAAGATCCACCCAAAAACCAGCACAGCAAAGAAAGCTGCCATGCGCTGAGTCAGGCCACTGGTCCATCTACCTCAGCATTGCCTACACTGACTGACAGCAGCTCTCCAGAGCTTCAGATATTATATGAATCATAGAGCTGGAGGAGACCCCCAGGGTCATCTAGTCCCACCCACTGCAATGCAGGAATCTCAGTAGATGAAGAGCAGGTGCTCTACTCCTGAGTCACAGCCCTCTAGCCATAGATCAGGGTGATTTCTCCCCTGCCGCCCTCCTCTAAATGTTACAGTCACAATGCTGGAATCACAGCTACAGTCCAGCAGCCAACTGGTGGCATGACTTTGGGGAAGAAGTCCAGCCTGACTGCCTGAAAAGAAGAATAAGAAGGAGGTCCCCAAACACAGCAGAGCTGGCTTACTACAAACAAGTCGAGTAATACACATTACTATTGAGGTAAAGGTAAAGGTGAAGGACCCCTAGACGGTTAAGTCTAGTCAAAGGTGACTATGGGGTTGTGGCGCTCATCTCACTTTCAGGCTGAGGGAGCTGGTGTTTGTCCATGTGGCCAGCAGGACTAAACCGCTTCTGGCGCAACGGGACACCGTGACGGAAACCAGAGCGCACGGAAATGCCATTTACCTTCCCACCACAGCGGTAACTTTTTATCTACTTTCACTGGCATGCTTTCAAACTGCTAGGTTGGCAGGAGCTGGGATAGAGCAACGGGAGCTCAACCCATCGTGGGGATTCAAACTGCTGGCCTTCTGATCAGCAAGCCCAAGAGGCTCAGTGGTTTAGACCACAGCGCCACCCGCATCCCTTACATATTAGAAGCAGGACACAGACCAGCATGGTGCCTGTGAGTGCAGATGTGGCAAAAGCAACGTTCCCTGATGCCTACAAGGTTCATTTCCCCCAGTGAAATAAGGCTTAAGAGAGGCATTCTACTGCCACTCATAGAATAGGGAGCAGCGTTAGCTTGGTTGCAGTGGGCGTGTGGCACCTATACGTTTCTCCAACATGCAAATCTGTCCATGGGTCAAAAAAGTTTGGCAAACCCAGATCTGTTATTAGTATTAACTGCCCTTCACTACCAGGCCCCAGAGCAGGTTACAAATCTAAATTCATGGTCATCCAAAGAAATGAATGATGGAAGATTCGGGACAAGCAAAAGGAAGTCCTTTGTAGGTCAGCTATAGAATTCACTCCCACAAGATGGCCACTTTAAAAGGGTATTAGTGAAAATCATGGATGATAAGGCTACTAGTTGTGATGTCTATATTCTGCTCCATGGATGAAGGCAGTAGACCTCTGAATACCACTTGCTGGGAATTGCAGGTGAGGCGAGTGATGTTGAACTCAGTTCCTGCTTGCTGGCTTCCCATGGGCATCTTGTTGGCCACTGTGAGAACAGGAAGGTGATTATATGGGCCACAGACCTTATCTGGCAAGCTCTTGTTTTCTTCTCCTGCCCTTTGCTTCAGAGAGGAAAATGTATTGGGCTGGCCCTGTTTCTGTTCCTAGGAGTCACTTATTGGATTCTGTGCAGTTCCATCTAGGCATAGGATCGGCCTTTTCAATTGTGCCACCCCTCCATTTTCGAATTTCCTCACCAGACATCCTTATCTAGCACCTACTTCAAGATTCCAGGTGACAAAGGTTTTATTCTTTTCAAGCTTCAGCACCATTTAACCGGGATCTGTTGTTTTGGGGTTGGCCGGTGGTTGGTTTCTATCTAATGCTGGAGCTGTTGTTGTTTTTTGTGATCTAACTAAATTGGCTTGTGTTCCACCAGTACTGCTTTTGATTTCTGCTGGAAGCCTCCTTGGTGCCCAATGCAAATTCCCCACCTAAATAAATTTTTGGTTGGATTAATTAAAAACTATTTGATGGTGACAGCAGATCTCACACTATATGTCTGTATTTTTAAAAAAATCAAATTAACCTAAGCACTTACTCTGCCATTCTCCCACTGCTATTTCTACCTCCACGGTTGAGCCTCAAACTTGGCCCTCAAGAGTGTAGAGGGCACAGAGAAGGTGTTAAGAAACCAAATCAACTGGAGTAAGAAGGTGCTGTGCTCTCAGTGGAAGGTAGGGGAAACGGCATCATCCACAACCCTTCAGAAAAAGAACCTTGGGTTGTATCCAATGTTAGACCCACTGAAATGAATGAGCATGACTAAGGATGTGTTCAAATAGGAGGAATGTTACATTAGTTTTCCTGATTATAATGCTAGGGCTTCTGCCTGTTTTCTAATGTTCTTTACACACTTCAGGACCTGTTGAGCTATGGAACTGTGGCTTTTTGACTGGCATATGGGCATGACACACTAAGTTTCATTCACACCAGTGGGTGTGGTGTGACACAACAACGAACATCTTTGGGCATCGCTACTCCCCCATGCCTTCTGCACATGTGCGCTTCTGTTCCCCCACGAAAAGGGCAGGAAAGAATCGCAAACATTATGCCGCCCCCAAATCCGTCAATTTACTCCCACAATTTACATCAACCAGGGTTAAAGTCTGATGTGCAACAAAAGATGATATTTGAAATTAACAATGCCAGCTTGTTCTTAAAACAAAGAAGTGTACTACTTCTCCCCCTGCACTTTCAAGAACCCTTATTTATATTTCTCTGCAAATTTAGTCAAGTGGTTTACAATTCAGGTGGTAGCCCTAATACACGTGTGGAGTGTTTGCTGAACCCCTCACACCATGCCATTTTCCTGGTTAATATTACAACCCCAAGCTCTTCTGGATTGAAATTTTAAAAGGCAGTGCACAGTGCCCGTCTTCCCTCCCCAACAAGGCTAGGATCATTTTTAGGGAAGAGATTTCATCAGGAAAATGACATGCAGAGGGAAAAGTCATTTACCAGGACTGCTGCCCTGAACCCATTTGCCCCCACCATCCTGCAACTTCCTTTAACTTTATTTAAACATTTAAATAAACATAAGATGAGAAGAACCAATTACAGACTGTCTGCGCCTTGTGCTGTTTAGCCCTTCTCCCTGTCCTGAATGCCTTTTTCCACCTGGCCTGGGAGGGTGGGGCCCTGACTGACTCCAGCTAAACACCGAGGCTGCTGAACAGACTCCTGGGATGGAGTATTGCTTAAGGGCTTTGGGGGGGGAATGGTTGCTGTTATTGATATTAAATTTTTGTATCTTTATTTTTAGATCTTCTTATGATTAAATGTGGAAATTTTTACTCTGCTTGTGCACTTTGACAAAGTTTCAGGGGGGGGAATTAAACGCCCCCATCTATTGCCTCCTTGCAACTTGCCCTTCTGAACCTGAGGGGGGATCAAGCGGCAAGTTTCTGATCTAAGGAACTCCTTCTGTGGATGCTGACTGCAGCAATAACTTCTTTGGCCCATAAATCAAAGAGCTTAAGCCTCTCATCTTGGCATGAGAATATGTGGACTCTGGCTACTGTCAAGAAAATAACTCACAAATTACATATTTCTAAGCCAAAACCTTTCTGTGTTGTTCGGTGTGTGATAAATTCAGAAAACTCTCTTCCCCCACCAAATTGTGCAGTTTGACTTCCATGATGTGTTCTACTGCTTTTATTTTTCTGCATTATTCGTTCTCTATTTCTTTGGGGAAATATCCCTGTGCTGCTCCTATGTTTTGTAACTTTGGTGTGATATATATATATATGTGTGTGTGTATTTTTGTTGCTTTGTTTGTATTTTGTATTTTATGTTCATAGAAACATAGAACAGTAGAGTTGGGAGGGATCCTGAGGGTCATCTAATCCAAAGGAATATCAACTACAGCATCCATGATAGAGGGCTACCCAACCTCTGCTTAAAAACCTTCAAGGAAGGAGAATCCACCACTTTCTGAGGGAGTCCGTTCCACTGTCAAACAACTCTTACCATCAGAAAGTTCTTCCTGATGTTCAGTCGGAATCCCTTTCTTGTAATTTGGAGCTTGCTCCCTCTTCCATGGGACATCCCTTTACTTAAGTTAATAAATCACAAGAACAGCAAGCCATACCTGGACTGGTTCTGTAGGTGCTGTAGAACTTGAGGGTTGGGGCAGTGTGGTAGTCCTCTCACTGCGGTCTGGCTCCCGAGAAGTGCTTGGCTTTGGCACAGCCCTGCTCTTCGTCACACTGGTGGTCACCAGCGGAGCTGTGTTCAGTTCCGTCCTGGCAACTTCGGTGGCCATGGTTGGCGTTTCAAGTGTGATCGACTGCGTCGTGGCTACAATGGTGATAAAGGGGGGCAGGACTCTCAGGACAGTCGTTGGCTTGGACATGGGCATCGTAGCAGAGGTGGTGGTGGTGGTGGCAGCAGTTGTGGCGGTGGTGGTAGCAATAGTACTAGCGGTAGCAGAGGCATCAAGGGCTGCGGTGCTAGCAGTGGTACCAAGCGCTTTCCGGATGGTGACCGCTGGTGCTTCGGTCACCCTGGGGATGTAGAGGCTGCTCGTTACTGGATCAGAGGTGGCTTCCTCCACAGGGAATGGCGCAAAGGGGGTGGCTACTGGCTGCACAGAGGTGGCGGGCAACACAGGGGAAGTTGTAGGTAGGGTGAGGGGTGCATCTGTGTTGAGCCGCACAATGGTCTTGATCCCAGAGTCCTGCTCAAAATCTGTAAGGGAAGCAAAGGTTAGGATCTGACTGCTCAGAGTCACTGTAGGGACACAGGAAGCTGCTGTCTACAAAGTCAGCCATCTAGCTGAGTGTTTCCTACACTGACTGAATCTCCAGGGATCCAGGCTGGAGTCTTTTTCAGCCCTACCTGGAGGTGCCAAGGATTGAACCTGGGACCTTCTGGATGCAAAGCATGTGTCCTACCACTGAACTAATGGTCCTCCCCATTAATAATTTTATCCACACTGTGCTTGAGGCTTCCCGCCACTGTTTTATTTGCAAGCTACCTTAATAGGGTTTTTGGCCTTTAAAAGTAAGCCTATAAGCATTTTAAATAAATGAACCAGACATTCAGTAGGATGAGGAGAATAAATGCATTCAATGTTCTTTACAATGTTTGCTTCTGGAAGGCTAACCAGCTGTCTGCTTCTGAATTCCAAAAAAATTACATTCAACCTCTGGGCTTTTTTCTCCCCACCACCACCACCACCAAAACCCCCCACAAATTTTCCGTAATAACTCTGCCACCAATATAAATGGAGGAGAAAGAGTGATGTCTTCTATCCAGCCACACTCAGCAGGGTGACATCCCTCCTTTCAAGGGTCTTAAATATGTACTCACATCCTGAGCCAGAGCCTGAGTAGAGTTCCTCGATTTCATCAATTTCTTCATCCTCAAAGGAGTCATCATCTCCAGAGCCTTCCAGGTCAATGGGCCGCTCATAATTTTCATTCCGCCAGTGCTGGGCCTGGGTTCAAACATCAAGAAAAACAGACTTAATACTTTCCAGTGCAGCAACATGCGCATAGAATAAGAGTCAGCATAGGCAGTAATTTTGGAGCCCAGGGGCGCAGGCAAGCTGTCTTATATTGAGCTAGACCATTGGTCCATCTAGTTAAGCACAGACTGGCAGTGGCTCTCCATGGTTTCAGACTGGGGCTCACTCCCAGACCTACCTGGAGATGCCAATGAATGACTCTGGGGAGAAGCAGAGTCTCCACCACTTAGCAAGAAAGAAAACATACACAGGAGCTGCCATCATGCCTTACCAAAAGGGTGGAAACCTGTTGTCCTTCAGATGCTGTAGGACTCCTGACTTCCATCAGCCCCCTGCCAGCATGATTAATGGTTAAGGATGGTGGGAACTGGAGGGCTCTAACCTCTAGAGAGCCACAGATCCCACCCCCCTGGTCTTGACAGTCAGTTGGTGGTTTACAAATTCCATGTTAGCAGCATACGAAGCTCCCATTGTTCTAGGAGCATTTTGCAACAAGGAATTTCATTAGCACAAGCAGTTTCTGAGCTCTGGGCACAATGCTGTGCCTAAGATTTCAGATTAAAATGGCAGAGTGGAAGGAAAGGAAGGCCTTTTTCTGCCTCCCCACTTCCAACCACTCTCTGACGATTGGAGGAAAGACCTTCTTAAGAATATTAGCGGGGCGGTAGTTGAAGGACTAGACCATGTGAAAAATGAACATGATATTTTAGCTGTTGTTCATTCATTTCCAGCTTTGTATTCTTGTTATTTAAAAAGTGAGCCTATACATTCCGTTGTTGCTCCCATTACCTAGGTTTAAGGTGCCATTTAGCTCCTAGTGTTCATATCTCAGTTTCTAACACTGCATTTTAGTATATTACAAAACAGGAGGCAGGTAAAACCACAGAGTTTGTAGAAAGAAGAAAAATGTCACAGCAGAAAAACAGTACTTAAGAACACTGTTGTTGTTAATAATTACATTTATTACTTGCCCTTCATCAGCAGAGTCCAGGTCAGTTACAACAATTAAAAATTGAAAACGGTTTAAACAGAGCCACAGAAATAAGGAAGGCCCTGAAAACACACATCTCAAGCATCAAAAGAAGTGAGCCTTCAGAACATAAGGAGAACCCTGTTGGATCTAGCCAATGGCCCATCTAGTCCAGAATCTTGTTCTCACAATGGCCAATGTGGGAAACCAGCAAGCAGGACTCAAGCACAAGAACACTCTCCCCTCCTGTGGCTTCCAGCAACTGGTATTCAGAAGCATCATTGCCTCCATCTTAAGTCCTACAGTATGTCCAAACAAAGCACCTTGGCTTTCTGCTCCGCTTCCTCACCCTGGATCGAGCTTATAGCATGGCCACCAATCTTTGAGCAAAAACCACTGCTTGGGTTTTACCGTACAATAGGGGATAATGCCCTTTTAAACACTGTACTGTGAAATTCAGCCATGTGGCTTCCAGCTGTAGCTTTGCTGAGATTGCAGAAGAAGCAGAAGCCTGGGCAGTCCAGCTGTCACCCATTTAGCACATGGAGCTGTGAGGAAGTGGGAAGGAGTCCATGTTTAAGCAGCGAGGTTCCCCTCCCGGGTCCTGTCAGCGCTATTGTCAAATCAGCAGTCAGCCACCTGGATGGTGGCAACAAGATCCCAACTTCCTCCTCAGAGGAGAGCATGCTCAGCTTATGCCAAGGAAGCAGAAAGTTGGGGGGAGAGAAACCAGCAGAGAGAAGAAACCACGGTGGCGGCTTGTAGACATGCCTTGAAAATGTGTTCTCCTTTTTTTAATTCCAGAAGGATTTTTATAATTGATTTCTGCTGTTTTGAATTGCAGCTGGCTGAACGGTGCTGAGTTTTACAGCTGGAATTTTTTGAACTGTATTTGCAACCAAGTGGTGGCTTTGCACTAGTGCAGAGGAGGCAAAACCTCAGGCCAGGGGGCCAAATGAAACCCTCTGGATCTCTCTATCTGCCCCTCGGGACACTTGCCAGGTCACACAGCCTCTCCTGAGGTCACACACCTCGCGAGCCATTATTCACATGGCCCTTGAGTGCTTCTGCTTGGCTTGAATGGTTCCTTCAGAGAAGGGTAACCAAAATGATCAAGGGGATGGAAGGACTCCCCTGTGAGGTAAGGTTGCAGCATCTGGAACATTTTAGCTTAGTTAAAAGGTGAGTGAGAGAGGACACGGTAGAAGTGTATAATATTACGCATAGCATACAGAAAGTGGGGAGAGAAATGCTTTTCTCCCTCTCTTAACACTAGAACTCTTGACCATGTATTGAAGCTGAATGTGGAAAGATTCAGGACAGATGAAAGGAAATAGTTCTTCACTCTGTGCAGTTAAACGATGAACATTTACTCCCACTAGAGGCAGTGATGGCCAACAACTTAGATGGCTTGGACAAATTCATGGAGAATACAGCTATCACTAGCTATGAGTAGCCACCAAGACCATATAACACCGGTCCCGAGAGACCTACATTGGCTCCCAGTACATTTCCAAGCACAATTCAAAGCGTTGATGCTGACCTTTAAAGCCCTAAACGGCCTCGGCCCAGGATACCTGAAGGAGCATCTCCACTCCCATAGTTCAACCTAGACACTGAGGTCCAGCTCTGAGGGCCTTCTGGCGGTTCCCTCACTGTGAGAAGTGAAGTTACAGGGAACCAGGCAGAGGGCCTTCTTGGTAGTGGCGCCTGCCCTGTGGAACACCCTCCCATCAGATGTCAAGGAAATGAACAACCACCTGACTTTTAGAAGACATCTGAAGGCAGCCCTGTTTAGGGAAGTTTTTAATGTTTGGTGTTTTATCATGTTTTTAATATTCTGTTGGGAGCGGCCCAGAGTGGCTGGGGAAACCCAGTGAGATGGAGTATAAATTATTATTATTATTATTATTATTATTATTATGTCATAATGATTTTGGTCTGTATGCACAGTTGGAGGCAATTGATGGAAATGAAAAGGACAGAAAAGGGGCAGAGGCAGAACTGTGAGTGTGAGTGTGTGAGACATAGATGGGAAGAGCGTAGGATGGTGAGCAAAGGAGGGAAGAAGTGTGTGCATATGTGCGTAAGAGAGAGGGGAGGGGATGTATGAGAGAAGGTGAGCATGTGTGTGAGAGAAGGAAAGAGAAGGCTCTTAATCAATTCAAAATGCATTATTGTCAATTACAAGGACAAAGATAACAAAAGGTGGGATGGAGTGACCTCTTCCAGCTGGAAGGGTGGTTGAGAACAATCAATCAGATGAAAAGTGAGCAAGTTCCACACACACAAACACAGACAGGGCTAAATTTGATTAGTGTGGAACGAGGCAGTTTTTCAAGAATTCTGCACATAAACGGACCAATGCTTGACAGGCGATCGTCCCTGGGTTGTGACAGAAAACATGGTGGTAACCAGTGCAGACAGAACAAAACTAGTACTGTATGTTCCACAAAGTAGGCTCCAGATACAACTATTTATCAGGCTGGAAATCTTATTTCGCATGAGTTAAGGCCCCTGAACATTTTCCAATGGTAGCCCCACATGCGTTGCATACCAATAGTTCAGCCTAGAAGCGACAAAGGCGAGAGTGACAGCAGACAATTCTGCTTTCTTGAGGATGTCAAACACAAAATCAAGTCACATTACAGTGGTACCTTGGTTTTTAGAACAATGGCTATCACAACTGCACATAAGAAAAAAAATTATTTTTATTTTCATCATCTACAATATTCATTTTACAGTACAGTACATTGATTATTGCTTTCATTTTATGGATCAATAGCCTCGTTAGTAAAATTCATGTTAATTTGATGTTTTAGGGGTTGTTTTTAAAAGTCTGGAATGGATTAATCCATTTTGCATTACTCTCTATGGGAAAGCATGCCTTGGTTTTAGAACGCTTTGGTTTTGGAACAGACTTTCAGAACGGATTAAGTTTGGGAACCAAGGAACCACTGTACTGTGTCCACATAGGTAGTTAAGAAAAGAGAGAGAGATTGAAGGGGGGGAGTGTGCAAACAGAAGAGCATCTTTCCAAAGAGATCATGTTCCTATGCAGAAGAAACAGTAAATCAGCAGTATGCATCCCTTAGAACACCTTTCCTTCACCTGGTGCTCTCCCAAGTGTTTTAGACCCCAACACCCATCAGCCCTAGCCTGCATCACCAATAGTCAGGGGTGATGGGAGCTCTAGTCCAGCAAATAAATTGGGGGGGGGTCATGTTGAGAGTAGGGTGATCTTCTACCACCTAACCACAGTGTGCACTTTTTTCATTAATATTTCACCTTTCTAAAAAATAAAATAAAAAATAGCAATTTAATTAGTACAAAGGCATCCATTTTCGGTTTATCATCCTGGCCAGCGAAGACAGGAATTGCTAGATTTGGGATATTGCAGTTGACCTTACATAAACCCTAACAGCATTGTGGGGGTTTTCGCCACTGAAAACAAAGAGAGGAAATGAACCGCTTG